TTCGAAGACGCGGCCGCTGTGGTTCCCTTTGTACGTGGTAGATAGTTGTGGTCATCCTGTTGGAATGGGCTTGACGCTTTCAATAGCTAATGGCAGAATAAGGCTACTCTGTCGTATTTTCGGCGTGATGACCACCGGAGTTTCTTGTCAAATGGCATGGCCATGATAGTCATTTCGGACCAACGAAAACCACGGTGCTTGAGAAATCTAGTGAGATTGGTCGATAAGTGCGTTTTCGATTGGGATCGTCTTAGAGGAAGATTGAGCGAAACTTGGCTTTATGCGCACACTGCGTATTGCTCGTGTATTTCGGAAGGACCGGTGTTTCCACTTGTTCGTAAAGATTTCAAATATCAGTCCCTATATTTTCCCGAAAGAATTCGCATGCATAGGAACAAGGTCTGTGGGGCCGGGTTATATAATAGCCGAGTCGAATATTTTGCAGACAGCGTTATTTAGCCGGTCATGTGAGCCCTGGCCAAGTTATCATGGTTATAGACGCCTTCGGGACCAGAATACGTCGATCGGAACGTACAATGCGAGAGCAACGTCCAGCTTTATTACCTGAAATGCAGCCTGTTTCCTCGGTTTCAGTAAATCTACCGTGGAACTGCCCATGGCCCGTCAATTACCTTCATCTGGGCACGTGCATGACTCGTAAAGACAACTTGATAGAGCCTGCGCCTAGTCGAATGCCTCTGCTTGTCTGTAGTGTAGGCCGTTCTCTGGCATTGTCCTGGTGACATCTGCCTGCATAATGACTGGCCTAATTGGCAGTGTTAATCCTAAAAAGCTGATTGCTTTCGCAGCATATGTACGGTCTGTGTAGTCCGATTAGGCAAATTCACCACTTAGTCAGGATACAATGCATTTCGTCCCCCAGTGCACTTTAATTTTTTACATATAATTTTGGGATATATGGGTACGTGGGCTACAATTTATGCGCAGATCTTTTATGATTGTCTCTGTATAGGCGCCAAGAACAAATGGGAATAACTGAAATTGCTTAGATGTTCACATTTTACTAAGTGTGCTCGACACAGATGATTGGGATTATGTACGGCCAGGCAACGACAAGTCGTCTTATAGGAGTTGGCTTGGGGTTATGCGTCGTACTAGTTTGGATTGCGATTGCACTTGAAACCCTTTTAGTGTTCGAAAGCACACGAGAAGAAAAGATTTGAAGTTTGAAGAGTCGGGGTTTGTATCTCCTTTAAGCCTCTGCACTTGCCAAGAAATACACGCTATTCGCATTTCTTGAAGTTTACGAAAAATTGCATCTTCACTTCCCTTTGGCACCTGACTTTGAACAGGTGAAAATGACCCACATCGTATTCGGTCTTTTACTGCCGGCTGTGCTGGATCGAGATAATAAACTGCGGACTGTAATTGTTTGCATCACGTGGAACATCGTAATTAGACCATTTAAAATGAAGTTTTAAAACATTTTGTGAACACCAACAACAGCGGAATTCTTCAGTGGTCGTGGAAAGACAGGATGTCCGCTGCAATGTTTATGTTTCTTGTCAATGGTAATGCATGACAATTTTCGTTTTAAGCTACAAAGTGGAGTGAATTTTAATGAAGCAGAATTTTGAAAAAACAGCGAATTTGTCATCTTATTCGGACAGGTTATATGAACCTTCTGTACGGACAGTCGTGAACTTCTGGGTTCACCAAGCAGCCGAGAATAAGGAACTGTTTTAATTCTTTCCTGACGACGGTTTTCCACTCCTAGTAAGCCACTGGACGGGCGCTCAAAAGCTTTAAGGGTTGCTCGCATCCTGCCCCGTCATATCGATAAGTTTAGACGCACTTTCTTCGTGCCTCTTTCGGCATGCACCTGGACTGCTTAGTACCGTAACAAGAGCACCAGTTATAAAGAATTGTCCTAATTTTAATTCAGAATTGTGTTGCAAGTTAAAAATTATTTAGCTAAAAATGTAAAGGTCTAAATGGCAGAAGTTCTTCGAGCACCAAATGGCTGGAATAAAAGGGAGTATCTTTCATAAAAATCCTGTTGCTTCTGACTCCAGTTTCCTCTTGTTTTTCAAAAAGATCTCATCAGGCAGTTTGCCACTACATTTCCGCTCCATAATTACTCCGTCGGAGTCGTTAGGAGGCCGGATTGAGCACGAAAGGGGTCCCCTAGTAAGATCTGGCGGAGAGTCCTGCAAGAGGTCATAGCGTGCAGAACTGGTGATGTCGGCCACGTACTCCGGTAGAGGGCTTACCACATTAAGACTGTTGGATTTGAGGCTGTCCGACTTGTTTGCCAGCTGAAGGTAATTTGTTGAGAAAAGGGGGTTTGTCGTTCTTGCAGTTAGTCTGCGCATCCTCTGATACCTGCAGCACAGTATCGCAAGACAGATCGAGAGCAGAAGTAAGCATCCAGCGGCCACACCTTTATTGAAAAGA